TATGTCTGTCTATCTATCTATCTAATCTAATCTAATCTAATCTAATCTTATCTATCTATCTATCTATCTATCTATCTATTATCCTTATCTATCTATCCTTATCGATCTATCCCTATCTATCTATCCTTATCTATTCTTATCTATCTATCCTTATCTATATATCCTTATCTATCTACCCGTATCTATCTATCCTTATGTATCTATCCTTATCTATCTATCCCTATCTATCTATCCTTATCTATTCTTATCTATCTATCCTTATCTATATATCCTTATCTATCTACCCGTATCTATCTATCCTTATGTATCTATCCTTATCTATCTATCCCTATCTATCTATCCTTATCTATTCTTATCTATCTATCCTTATCTATATATCCTTATCTATCTACCCGTATCTATCTATCCTTATGTATCTATCCTTATCTATCTATCCGTATCTATCTATCCGTATCTATCTATCCTTATCTATCTAGCCTTATCTATCTATCCTTAGCTACCTATCCTTATCTATCTAGCCTGATCTATCTATCCTTATCTTTCTATCCTTATCTATCTAGCCTTACCTATCTATCCTTATCTATCTAATCTTATCTATCTAATCTTATCTATCTTATCCTATCTTTCAAATCTTATCTACCTAATCTTTTCTAATCTAATCTAATCTTATCTATCTAATATTATCTATCTAATCTTGTCTATCTGATCTTACCTATCTAATCTTATCTATCTGGTCTTATCTATCTAATCTTATCTATCTAATCTTATCTATCTAATCTTATATTTAATCTTTTCCATCTAGTCTTATCTATCTAATCTTATCTATCTAGTCTTATCTTATATTATCTTGTCTTGCCTTATCTTATCTTATGTTATATTATCTTATCTTATCTTACTATCTATTTACCTATCTATCTTTCTAATCTAATCTAATCTTATCTTATCTAATCTTATCTATCTATCGTTCCATCTATCTATCTATCTGTCTATCTATCTATCTATCTTTCTTTCTTTATTTCTTTCTTTCTTTCTTTCTTTCTATCTTATTATCTTATTATTTTATCTATCTATCTTTGTCTATCTATATATATATATACATGAAATATATATTTCAACTGGTAAAGGTTGGTGAATCAACCAGCCGTTGGATAGACAGTATTGGGATAGGACCATTGCTATAGGTATTCCCAAGCCACAGTCATCAACTCACGTTCATGGCTCAAGTTTCTGGACCAAGCTCACAGTCAGTCCAGCCAAAGCCGCTGCGACGCGAGAGTCCGAGAGTGGAGATGACACTCCTGCGGCCGAAACCACTTTGGAAGAGGCCGAAGAGGATGAATTTCTGGAGGATGTCGCAGAAGATGCCGAGGACAGGTGGGTCTACAACTTCGACAAGAGCGATGTGATTCGCTTGCACAATGTGCCGAGGACACGAAACAGGAAAGATCGGGGATTGGTGGTATTTTTCCCGAAACTGAACTCAATGGCCGTGGTCGTGTCCAAATGAGACATCCATTGCGACCCACTATGAACTTACAGATCCTTCCGGTACAACTGATGATTTTTTTCCAGGAATGGTATAGGAATCTTGGGAAACAATATCTCATGTTTCCTCCGTGTCCCCATTTTTTCACATTTTAAAGGAATCCATCGAACCTGATATGTCTTCATTAACTAGTAACTAATAAGACCCCAATACTTTTTGTAGAGTAGATACCTGAACACCTACCATTTCACCCATATCAAATCAATCCAGTCAGACCATTAAAATAAACATATTTCTTGGTTAAAAAGTCAATTCCCTATGTTTTTGGATGTTTTTGGCTTGGCTTCTTGGTTCATTCCGCCATGTTTTCTCCCACGTTTTCCACCCGGTCCAGGCTGCGAGGGGGCCATCATCAACGGCGGCTTCGTGCGGCAGGACCGCAGCTATCCGCCCGGCAGCGCTCTGTGCCTCGGCAACACGGCAATAGGTGGTGGAGTTTTCTGGGTATCTAAACATCTTGAAACCATAGGAAAAATTGTGATTTAACCAACATAAATGGTAGGTGTTTGTGAGTGTTTTTTTTTAATGGGAATACAAATATAAAAATACAATGGGTTTATTTCTGGGTGAATTGTAGGGACCCCTCACGTGACCTCACTGTGACCCGGCTGGAATCATGGTTAGTATCCCCTAATGGCCGAACTTTTGGGTTAGTCAACTATTACAATTTGCCCATAATTTTGGTTGATGGTCACTTTCCGTATAGAAACTGGTCATTTTTGGGCATACCTTAAAGTATCTTATCTATGCCATCTTCAGAGACATCCAAATTATCATCATAAGTTGGTTATATTCCCATATAATATCTCCATATTGATATAACAGAAAAAAACAGTGGTAGAATATCTCTCCATCATAGTATTTGTCCGTTGCATATGGTATTATATGATCTCCAACTGGTTTAGCATGGGGTTTACCAAACACACGGTATAATGTTGTAAACCCAATAATGAACCATTCCCAATTGGGGCTTCCTTATTCAATGTACCTCTTTACCATCGTATACCCCTTTTTCGGATGTAAAAGACACCCTAATGGTTAGTTATTGGGATGGGTCATTGTTGTGTTTTCCACATCAAAGGGAATATGTGGGATGATTTATAATACATGATTTATATGTGTAATATATATATATATACATAATATCGGATGTATTGCAACCTATAGTCTATAGTCATAATATGATTATGATTAACAGTACAAGGTGGTGTCCCCCCACTTATCAGTTTGTTTCGAAACCAATATATAAGTAATTGTAGGTTTATTTAGCATATTTGAGCATAAAACGCGCTGAACTTACTTATCAACCAAGTCAGCTAAGAAGTGGACACCACATTGTATTGATTTACTATTGGGTGTATAGAATATTTACAATAAAAAAGGCTGCCTTTCTGGGATACTGTAGGGATGTCATTGATGTCATATGATAAATATTGCCAAGATATGGTGAGGATATGATAGGATATATATATATATATTAAGAATATATATATATATATTGGATACATAATGTGGTATATTGACTATTTATGACAAATATGGTATGCATTCACATGGATGCACAAAAAAAATACATCATATGAGATATTTTGCGGAATAGATCATTTGTGATTTTACTTAATTAATCTACTATGGAGATATCAAAATGTGGAGATCTTATCTATAGAATACTATATATGGATACAATTAACAAAACATAATATAATTATAGAATTATATATGGGATGTCATCCTTCCCAGTGACGAACTCATATTTTTCAAGATGATTATTGCACCACCAACCAGATATTAGAATTGGGGGATGACCATCATTAAACACTATTAACCACTATTAACCACCATGAATCTATATAATATAATATAATATATATTAATCTATTAACCATTGTTTCTCATATAATATATCATCACATTGTTCCATGATTATCCCAGTAGAACCATATAAACCGTATAAAACAATATAATGGAGAATTTTATGGAGATATTGCCGGAACATATGATGAAAAATCAGGTGCCTCAAAGGGCCGATCGCTTCAAAACCTGGCTCGCCCTTTAGCCGATGCCTTGCTGTCACGCTCACAACACGAAAAATGGAGGTTTTAATGGGAAAACCATGGGAAAACCATAGGAAAATGGAGGTTTACCCTCTGGTAATGACTAACATAGCTATGGAAAATGGCCATAGAACTAGTGGATTCACCCAGCTAGAAAATGGTGATTTTCCATAGCTACGTAAACATACGTAGACGTTTACCAGAGGGTATAAACTGTAGATTTTCCATTGCCGTGTTTGATTGCCGGAAGGGTATTGATGAATTTCCATTAAAACTTCAATTGAGTTTGTGGTTTCTCAACTGACTCTAATGGCTAAGAAACATGCCGCAACTGCAACCAGTGCACTTTCCATACTGGTCCATTTTGATGCTATCCTGAATGCTGCGTGTGTGGTCAATGTGAAAGATTTTCCTGTCCTTCACATCGTGACTGGCGACGCTGTAAACACGAACGAAGCTGCTGTCAGCTGGGTTTGAATCTGAAGTGGGTGAAGTACAGATTTGTATACCCTTGCGTTGCGCAACGCACGAGAGCCATCTATGCACATCTATGCGCCAATACAATCATTTGCGGGCGATGCGTGTCTCGCCCATTGAAGGGAAGTTACGTTTGTTGCAACATGTTGCCGTACTTCAAGTATTTAGTTCAGCGGTTGCGGACACCAGATGGTATGCAATTTTGCAATATATGTTGGACATGTCCCCACGCAAAGAACCTATATATATATACCTATGCTGATTGCATTTGGCCCATCGTTCTTGGTGCCTGTTCTTTGCCGCTTTCCCGTGCCTTCCCGTTTCAGTGAGCAATCTGCGGTACGGAAGACCACCATTTTTAATAGGCTGATAGATCCATCATTTTTGAATAGCTAATTTTGATAGCTATGTTAGTTTACTGGAGGGTAATCTGTGGGTATGTTTATGTATTGATTAATGTGTGCTGTTGTTTTTTGCTTTATGATTCAAAATTGTGATGAATGACATTACCTTATACCCAGCTAAAATAATTAACCAGAGATGTGTTTTTTGTTGGGGGAGGCGGGATGAACCCCCCGAATTTATCCAATGTTTCATGGTGGAGACCTCCATAGTTTGCTCACAAAAAGATGGTACAAACTTGTAGTTTCGATAAAAACTTCAACTCTGTTGGTCAGTTTCCATATCTTTCTGATTTAAGCCTATCGGTTCTTTCCGAAATCTAATGCTTCGACGATGAAATCTTCACGTTTGGAAGGTGAAGTCATTGTTTTGCATGTTTTGATGATCGTATTCTTATCAATCCATATTCTTCCCATGTTTCTCACTTTTTCCCCATCTTTGGTTGTTCTAACTTTCTGACTTTTCATATCTTTTCATCCACATCTGTCCCACCTTCCGCTCGAATCGTCAGGACTCGCGCCATGATCAACGAAGAGATGCCCTTCAACAAGAGCATCGCGCTGCAGAAGCTCACCGGCCACCAGCTCCGCAAAGGCGGTCCTAGTGCGAGAGCGGTCGTTGGTTGGGTGTTGGGTGGTTGGGTATCCCGGTTAGCTTTTTAAAGGGTCTGGTCAATGGTTCATACCGGTTAATACCGGTTAATACTGGTTAATACTGGTTAATACTGGTTAATACTGGTTAATACTGGTTAATTGGTGATTAATTTGTGATTAATTTGTGATTAATGTTGATTAGTGGTGACTAATGATTAAAACCATCATTAACAATGGTGATTAAACACTGGTTAGTATGGGTTGATAGTGTTGCATAATCCCAATTAACAATAGTATATCCCATGATTATCCCACCGTGATAGATGTTCACCAATTAATGTGGGTAACACAATGCCATAAACCACCAAAATTTGGGATTGGTTTATATATACCACCTATAATTCACAAATATTTATCTTGATGACTGGGGGGTGGTTTATGAAATTGTGTTATCCACATTAATTTCTATAGTGTTTATCCATGTTTATCCATTATATCCCAAGATATCCCAAGGATATTCCCATTCTATTTCCATTTTACCACCATGTTCGTTGCCATTCTTGATGTATATCCATGTTTCCCCAAAATCTCCAAAGGTCCATTGGCTCTTTTTTTGGGGGGACCAAACGCGAATTGATAATTAAAAGATGGGTAGAATCTGTACCATTTCCCAACCCCCATGAAACCCCATTGATTGTATCCTCACTGGAACATGCATCCTTCACATCAATGCATCATTTCCCATTTATTTCCCATTTATTCCCGCCAAAAACCACCATCAGTATTGTTGGGAACGCGTTCCCATTCCCCAAAACACTCTCCGAAGCGATTTCGATAAATCATCGGCCAACCACTTAGATGGGCGGAAAGTTACGCGATTCCTGCAGCAGGTAACCAGCAGGTAACTAGGTGTGATAAAACCACATAAAAATCCAAAATATCAGCCAACAAAAACGTTACTATCTAGTTTTTTGTAACAAACTACGGCCCATCTAAGTAGAGTAGAACAAGTGCCGATTTTTACTACAACATTCCATAGTGATTTGCTTTATTCATATCCCATGAACTAATCCCATTCATCAAAACATATCAAAACTCGTTTTTCCCTTTGCCCGGCATACAGAATCACAGAATCATATCCTTGGAATCCAAGGGCTGGTGGAAAACGAAACAACACACAGTTTAACCCCACCTCTCAATGCTTCAGCTCCACTTAGATTGGTCCCAAGAGTCCATGATCCCTATACTGTGCGAAAACGAAAACCACCAGTTGATAGATGGTTAGTTTATCCCATTATCTACAGGTTTTCAACTAATAATGGGATAATTAATGGGATAAAGGAGAGTTACCATGGGATTTAAAGGGGTTATCCAAAATAGGATATATTTATACCATGGAAATATTTGGTGCAGGATTTCTTCCACAGTTTTTCTACAGCCAGGCCTAGAGGAGATGTTGGCGCCAACCCCAACCCCCGTGGCCTGCTTTCCCCAGCTGAGCCACTCGCTGCGCCTGCGCTATGCGCCCCATGCGCCGGTGCCTTGGTGGAAGCGGCGCCGTGGCGGAGCTTGAGACTGTGGAGGGTAGGAGAACAATGGTGGATTGCATATGGTTTTATATGTTTTTTAGACGGTGTAACTGTTGAACCATGGTTTATTAGTAGTTTGCTAGTACTTGATTGTGTTTTTATATAATGTTATGTCATTTTTAAAGGCCTGGCCATGGGATTTCCCAGCCATGGGATTTCCCAGCCATGGTTTATCTGATTAGCATTCAATTTGAAAACAATTTTATTTTGGTTGAATAGGAACAATGGTTTTGCCATTGTTGATCTGATTTTGAGATTTTAATTCGAATGGTGAGTTAGCATCCCTCATATTGATGATGGGGATGTCAAATCAACCATTTAATTAGATATACTCCAGTGAGTTAGCGAAACGATATGGAAAAGTTATGGTTTCACTTAGGAGGGTGATCTACAAATGGTTGGTTTTCAATATCGATGTTAAGTTACTGAGGGGTATTGGGTTTGACTGGCAATAGGGTACCCAGAAAACTATTCAAAATCCCATGGTCATGTTTGATCATTTTTTCTCATTCAGTGGCACACTTTGTTGGGCATACATTGGTATACGATATACTACATTTTTGGACACGCCCATATATCTATAGTTGGATGGGTGTAAGAATATCCGATATGTCATAATCGGAGGGACTTAGATAGACCAAATGAGTTTTATAGCTGGTGATTGCAAGTGTTTTTGAGATGACATGTACCCTCTGGTAACCAAACATGGTGCGCTGGGAAATCCATCATTTAGAATTGCTTGATTTGTTCCAGGTTTAAAGACTTTTAAAGCTTCATGTTCTAGGGATTTTCAGTTGCCATATGTTTGACACCAAAGGGTACCCAGCTATGTTTGGTTACGCTCATCGAAGTAGGCGGACAGGAATTCATCGTGGAAAAAGGGGATGGAACTGATCGATCAGCAGTCGATATACAGATTCTGGTTGGTGGTTTGGAACATGAATTTTATTTTCCATTTCATATATGGGATATATAATTAACAAAACATAATATAATTATAGAATTATATATGGGATATATAATCCTTCCCATTGACTTTCATATTTTTCAAGATGGTTAAAACTTTTAAAACCACCAGCCAGGATGATTCTTCCCCCAGAAGAAGCATCCGCCAATCGAAACGTTTTGGTGATTGATGTCTTGGGATTGATGGGATCATGTCCCAAACGTTTAGGGGATGCTTTCGGTGGTGATAATCCATGTCCTTAAACGGGACCCAATCATTCACCAAGGATTCCCCAATTGCCAATATGACCGAAGGGTCAGAGAAAAGGGGGTTATCAACAATGCACATTGGGATGAAACTAATGAAGACAATCACTAGATTGAGATATCACCGATGATTGTTGTTGCAAACCTAAAACATACACTACAATTATTACTTGGACCGGAAGGGAACCTCTTTTGATAGGGTGATGCTCGGGGCACAGGAGATCCAAAAAGGAATGGCAATGATATATAGCGTTTGAAAAGGGGTGATACCTCCAAATTGGCATTTTCAGCGGGAAGATGATTACAAACAAATGACTTTTGAGGTAGCTTATATTTCCGACAAAGCCATATTTATGTTTATTAAAATTGAATAAGACTGATATGTTCTCAAGAGTTGAAACATGTTTGGAACCAGAAATCATGGTCTTTTTTCTGGATTTTACGTCCCTCATCGTCTTGCATGGTGCCCCCAGTGCAAGCGGGGGAAGCCAACGAAGTTGGGACACCACCTTGTAGACGTGGAACTTTGGCGAGCTTCCCAGTATAATTTTGCCCATAAGGCCGAGTTATTCTTCAATTCTTAATGTTGTATAAATAGCACCCCAAATGAGCAACCCAAACAAGCTTTCTATAGGGTGGTATTTAATATTAGGTACAATGGTTTACTGCATTGATGCACAAAAACAAGTGCCTAAAATCACACACAGATAGATAGATAGATAGATAGATAGATTGATTGAATGGGATAAATAGATAGATAGATAGATAGATAGATAGATTGAATGGGATAAATAGATAGATAGATAGATAGATAGACAGATAGATAGATAGATAGAAAAGAAATAAAGAAAAAAGAAATAAATAAAGAAATAAAGAAAGAAAGAAAGAAATAAAGAAAGAAAGAAAGAAAGATATATATAGTCGGTATTCCCAGTTAGACCCACGTCATCAACATCTCCATCTCGGGTGACCTGCCACGTCTTCACTTATAGCAGCACGCAGCATTCGCATCTATAGCAGCGCGAAGGCCATGCAAAAGATCCAAAGTTTGCAGATCAACGGCGTGGAAGTGGATCCGCAACGTGACTATTTGCACCTCGCCTCCAGCTATCACCTCGGAGGATCAAACCCGTTTTCTGTCGTAGAACTGGTGAATTTTACCATAGGCAAAGGCCATGGCACTTCTGGAATTTTACGTAAGAACCATTATAGATATACGAACAGACCCATATAGTCAGATACTATATATGGTATTAATATCCATTCAGTCAAAATACTGGTATTATATCTGATCCATAATATTTATACTAACCATATAGATTAACTGATGGAACTGGTATTTTGACTGAATGACCCATTTATAAATGGAAGAACCCCACGAATCGGGGACTCACCATCCAGGGGCCAGAAGTGAAACGAATGCGTAAAACCCATGGTGAGTTTGCCCCAAAAAAAGTTGGGATCTAACCCCCTATAAGTATCTATAAGTATGTTTATGAATATAATGTGTTATAATTTATAATGGTTTATCTCTCTTGTAGTTGGAACTGCACTTCCAAGTGGGAACATACTGTGTCCTATATGGTGGGTCCATCTATAAATCCCGACAGACCTTCAATATAAGATACGAAATACCATCAGTAAGGGACCCTAAAATGAATATTGATGGGTTTCAAGTGGGGCGTAGTTTATGTGATGTGATATTGATGGGAAGGAACTATGAACGCATTTGTTTGTCTTTGGCGGTGACATACTATTTAGCCCGATTGTGTTTGTTTTTTTTGGCTGGGTTTCAGTACGAGCAAAACCATCTTCTTTGGCCCATGTACCTGTATATACCCATATATATATATATAATCAGTGGCATTTTCAGGAACCTAAATTGGAGGTACCTACCATATATATAAGGCCTAGTTGAAGGCCTATGTAAGGGAATATCCCAGCAAAATATGGCCAAAAATATGGTACGTTTACGTACCTCCATTTTAGGATCCGGAAGATCTCCCATTGATATAATGGGACTGGTTGGTTGGTTAGTCAATTGGCAACCCGCAACCCTCTATGTTTCAAAAGCGTTCCGGTCGCGATAGCACATGGCCAAGACGGTCCCAAAATATGTTTCCAAAATTGGGACCTCATTGAACCCTTTTAGTTCTTCAGGTATGAGTTGCACAAAAAATGATAGGAAAAGTTGGACAGCTACAAATTACAGGTTTAAAATCATCTTGCATATCCTGGAAAATGTAATGTTTTGCCGTTTTATATGGTCAATCCACCAATCAGGTATTTAAAAGGGATGTACTATGAATATTCTCAGGCCATATCATGCTCCCTGACATCGTCCTCACATACAGAACCAGGATTCACGGGATCAGCCAACGAAGTTAAGTTAGTTTGTTATCTACATCCCCCCCATGGCATCCCCAAAAAAACGGATGTTGATGGACTATTTTACTGGCATATAGTAATATCATAATGATTGATAATATCCATGATAATACTGTCAATAGTGTTAAGAATAAGAATCATCCATGATGATAGCCATAATATCCCACAATCCCAGCCTTGGCCATTCCGTCAGAATCGCCGTCAGCGAGTTCTACACCTTGGTAGCGGCCGATGCTGGACGTAGGGTAAGAACCAGTCAAACCATAGGGATATTGGGGTTGATGTTTCACCAGCCACAAATAGGGATTTAACATCATTTAATCAACACTTAAATGGACATTTCAAGAAAAATATGGATTGAACCGGCCAAAACTGGAGATTTCATCAGCCATCTTGGCTAGATGTTACCAGTAATAGTTTGGCTAAGGATTGAAGCAACCGACATGCTGAAGCATAATTTGGATAACTGGAATTTCACAGCCAACAAGAAATTCATCTTGGTTAACCCCCGATGAATCCTCTTAGTTCCCCCCTGGTAAATTAACATAGCTATGGAAAATCAGCAGGAATGTCATTTGAAGATCATGAGAATAGCGTACAGCTGCTGGGCTGCTGGGTGCTTGGATGTGCACCCAAGTTAGTTTTTTTTTATTGGAACTTTATAAGCTAGACATCATTGGAGATACCCGAGGAATCAATGAGAACCATGGTTATTTCAATGGGAGATCTTCAGGATCCTAAAATGGAGGTACGTAAACGTACCATATGTTTGGCCATATTTTGCTGGGATATTCCCGCAAACATAGGCCTTCAACTAGGCCTTATATATATGGTAGGTACCTCCAATTTAGGTTTCTGAAATGGCCACTGATGATTGGCCACTTGCGAATTCTGGGGTGCACCTCCAGTGCCCTTGGAGTTTGGTTAGAAATCCGAAATCCGGTGGCGAATCCACAATTTTTTTAGGCCTTTAAAACATCCATTTTCCAGGGATATTTCTTGGGGGTATAGTATGATATACCCTCTGGTAAACGTAGCATAACGTAGCCACATAACTATGGAAAGACCCACCATTTTCAATGGATAAATCCACTATTTCTATGGCCATTTTCAATAGCTATGTTTGTTTGCCAGAGGGTAGTCCTTCAAAGGGAGCAGGGTCAAAAATTCATTGATTCATTGTTAATCCTGGGTTTCACTGAGGAGGTGGGGCCTATCCCAACTGGCACATTCAGCGGACTTTTAAGGCTTTAAGCAACAAAACGTGGTGGGATAATGGGATATAACGATGGGAGACATGTCACTCGAATCTAGGTACTGTATGCAAAAATCTAGAAAATTACAACAACTTCACCTTTATATCGGGAACCGTCCCAAAGTCACTAATCATTTGATGTTGGGTGGGTGATGTTTATTGTCAAGATTATCTGGATCCAAGTTCATGCAAAAACTGTGGTTGTTGGGTCAGGTTAGAACGGCTAAACAAAGATGTGTCGAGAGAAACGGTGGTTTGCAATGAAATCATGATGGTCAAGTTGGTTTGTAACTAGGCTATCTATGGTTTATGGTCGATACATCTCCAGTTGGACAGTTGGACGGGTTGATATAAACCAAAAATCATAGGGGGTTCACATGCGGCAAGACGCCTTTTTTGCAACTGAGCATTTATATGGTTTGTTCCTGTCATTTGCTCTTATTTTGTTTGTAATGATACACTCAGACATATTTTGTCAAAACGATTGCTCTACTGTCTTGTTTAGCCTTTTTTGAGATATATATATATATAAGTATATATGTGCGTATATATATATATATATATGTATATACACTATATTGATATTTTCCATATTTATATATATACAGTATAGTATATGTATTTTTTGATACATTTGGATGAATTATATTTACATCACTCCCACACCGGAATGATGATTGGTAAAGGACATCATCCCCATCGCTCCACGCACATCATGGCACCGGCGACTGCTGTGCCTGCCGAGGAGCCTTTAACATATAGCAGGTAAATCAACAAGCCGTACCTATGTAAAGTGCTTCAACAAAATGTGTATATATATATATATAGAGGTAAATATGCATATAATATTATATAATATTGTTTACCCTCTGGTAAATTAACAGTTGGACCCTGAAACTGACCATTTTATCGTGGTTTCACTAGTCTTTCAACCCCGATGACTGGCAGGGTCTATGTCTGTTTGAGTCTTTTGGATGGTGTCAGTCTGTAATGAAAAACGACCCCAGAAAACCCTCGACAATTTACAGAAAACCCTACATGTGGGGTAAAAATCTATGGTTTCCTCTAGAGTTTTCCCATAAACCCAGTGATGTCCCATAGTTTCCAGACATTTTCCACATAGTTTCCATTGATTTCACATGATTTTCCCATAGTTTTCATAGACAAACCAGCACGGAGCTTTCCGGAAACCCAGGGGGTACCCCCAGATAAATCCATTTCTGGGGGATTTTCCATAACCATCCAGATCTTGGGGGGTATCCCATTTAGTGGTGCATTGCGTTTTACGTAGGGTTGCTGGATGGGTTGCTGTGGGTTGCTGGGATGATTTATTCATAGTTTGTTTTTGGGATCATTCCCGAAAATTCCCTGCGTAAAACGCACCAGTAAGTTCAACATCAAAGGTTCTTCAGTTGATCCTGAATCGATCACGGTCTCATCGGTTTCTGAAAGGGTCAACGATGGGATCATCCCAAGCCATATGCCTTCCGACCCATGATCCGGTTCTCGGGATCCGAGGATGGCGTGAAGACTTTCCACGAGGCAGATGTGGTGCAGATGCACGAGGGCCTGATTCGCGACAGTGTGGTGCCGTGGCGGAGAAATTTCCACAGAATTAGGACCAGCTACCGTGGGGGTGTTCAATATTGGATGCGATTTTGACCGATACCCCATTGATTAGCAATCAATGTAATTGAAATGAAATGTTATTGATACCCCACAGCAAGCTTGTTTTTCAAACAGTTTGGATATCGATAAACGTAAGCCATTATTGATGACCCATGGTTGCCCAAATTGGATCCCCAAAAAAACATCGCCGGCATCCCACATCCAACTGATGTGCTCTGAGGGACGTTGAAAATTGAGTCCAAACTTGAGTTTTCGTGTGTCCGTAGCAGTTGACCTCAATATTCCTTTCAAATCCTTTAACCATATATGTATTTATATATATATATACACATATGGTTTTAATTAAATATATATATATATATTATACACTTGATCCATGATTTGAAATATATCATATCTTTTGTAAATACCTAATTTCTTTCCAAAGAAACTCGAGATTTAAATCCGGCGGGTGTCTTTTGCATGGACCTTTTGCACAGTGTTTTTTTTTCCGCAATCCGTTGAAGTTCCATTGGGAGTTATGGTTTGAAATGTTTGAATTCTTTGGAACTATGAAGTTATGTACTGGAAAAATGGGAAACCATTCGTTGAGATTTCAACTGGCGGGAATGGAACATCTATCACTGGTTCAGGTGACGTGCCGTGGTTCTGGCCAACTGGAATTTCAAATCAATAACTTAATGTCGCAAATCATAGTTCATGCCATTATGTATATATATATAAATACATGCTATAATTACACACTATGATATGTAACATTGATAGTTACAATAATGATAACTAATTATTTTTGCAGAACAGGATAATTACTTAATTTGTATGCTAATTCACACACGTAAAATACATTATTCGATCCTAAAAAGCTCCTGCTGGCTCCGGTGGGACCCAGTTGGAGTCTCCCTGTTGGTTCAACAATGGTAGGGGGATCTCAGGGAAGTATTCATAGAGATGTTGATAAAACCAACAGCCTCAAAAATCACATAGTTGGGACCATTCATGGGTGTGTTTAGTATTGTTTAATGTGGATGGGATGACTTTTGTTTCCATTCTTTGTCCAATGTCCTTTTTTTTTAAATCTTTGTGGCTAATCATTGCCTTCAAACAGATTCGTGCGACTCAGGGACCTTCCAGCTTACATTTGTCCAGTTTGTCGGTTTAAGCCCGATTTTCATGCCTTATAAGAACCCCCAAAAGGATAGAAAAAAAGTAACATCCCACTAAAATAGTGATAAGTAGTGATAAATTAATACTGTTCTATTTTTTTGGATTGCAATGTTTTTTATTGGTTATTTCATGATGAAATTGCATTTCGTTTTTTTTTGGAGACCCAGTCTCGACTGTGTCATCAAACGTGGCTGGAACATCCGAGGACTAAATGGAGGCTGTTATCGAAAATTGATGGGAACATCATAGGAAATACCAGATGATATATAAAATATTGTATCTATCTAAATCATCTGGTATTTAAAACATTTAGGATAAAATACCATATATATATATGGAACATCATTAAATTCAATAAAAGTTGCATTTTTTTAATAATCAAACTAAACTAAATGGTGAATTATCCTCCAAGCCACGTTTGATGACATAATTTCGAGGCTCTCTATGATTTCCAGACGGGTGAAGGGTGAAGTTTCTGAGGCCAACTATTTGCACACGAAGAAAGAGATCAGTGGCGAACTTCAGGGCCGATGTCAGGCCATTTAAAGCGACGGCGAAGTGACCGGAGACATCAAGCCTTTGCGGAGCCGTGATGAAGACAGAGATTTTTCCGGGAGACAGGTGAGTTCGACAAACGTATAATGGTGGGTAGGTTATAGTGGGCAGACATGGGCAGACCCTGGATTGTTTTGCATAACCTCATTCGTTATAAATGGTGATCGATGTCTTACAGTAAAATTGTGCAACAAAAAAATACAAGTGATACATGGGCATCTATAAGTCAGATTAGTAGAACCCAGATTCTGCGGTGAAATCCTGATAGCCCTAGGGATCCCAACGTTTTCTCCCGCTGGCAGGTCTTCCAGGATCATTTTTTCAATGGACCGTTGACGGAACAGATTGGAACACCTGTCTCCAAATTCCTTATCCATTCGCCATTCGCCCTTTAAAAAAAGGGCCGGCTTTCATAAGTGAACCTGGTGAAGATCATCTCACTGAGGTGCAGCCAGGTTCTTCTGGTGCATCCGCAAGCGATGGTCGCTCAGGTGTTTTGATTGTCTTTAGTCAACCACTGTACACACTAATTATAATTGTGGTGGTGGCTTAAGCGTTTACATGTGGATTATATATGTAATTATAATTAATTATATATATATGTATGTATGAATATGTAATTTTTATGTATACACCATATGTTCATAGACATCACCTTATAGACGTATTTACATGTGTTTACCATAAATATGCGGACGTACATGCGTACATAGAATGCAATACATTACATTGCAATGTTTGACCTGTAGATAAAGATTAGTGTTCGTTTGTTTTCACGATTTACACTTCAGTAACATTACCCGTTACACGAATTGACATTGCGTAGCATTACATGACATTTCATTACATATAATGATATTGCATTGCATTACATTACATCACTTTACATTATATTTCACTGATTACAGTATATGTATCTATACATACACATCCATGTTTCCACATTGAAACGTATATACATATACTGTATATAGGTGTCTTTGCGTGTGTGTGTGTGTGTCGTGATCAAAATCTACAGCATCATTTACACAGAGTGTATGAGTATCTTCATGCATTCATGTGTATCATTAAATGTCATGACAGTCATCATTACACATCATGAAACTCAGGTTGCATATCCAGTTCCAGTGGTTGTGTGAAGAAACAGGTGATTCACAGAGACACCCGGGATGCACATCGTAGTTATCCAGCAGCTGTACAGGACCATGATTTCTCACCCTTAATGGGACATCATGTCGCCCGCTGGCAATTCCGCGACGAGCCCTTCTCGGGACACACAGACCGTCCCCCGGGGGGGGATGGAACCGATGGAACCTGGCACAACGGGATGGGGCAGATGATTTTGGGGCCGTGGGGCCCGTAGTGATATTGCTTGTTGTTCATGTTTTCATATAGCTGTCCCTTTTTTAACTATTATATAATGATATAGATCCAAAAAATGATCCCATCAACATCCTTAAAGCTGACAGTCAACTTACAAACGTAAAGCACTTAGCTATCAGTTAGCTCAACTGGGGTCCACCTTGCCGACAGGCTCCATCCCCCAGCAGGCACTTTGCGAAGTGCCGCGGGGCACCGGGGTACGCTGTGATCGCTGAGAGCTCCAAAAGTACCGATGACCCGAGCCGTGAGCTCCAAAAAGGTGACCTGGGATTGATGCGCAGCTGGGTAAAGCTTAGAGAAGTTAAGCATACCCCTGTTGTGGCTGTAGACTTGCGGATGGTGTACGATGGTGTCATTATTGTTGATTGTAAATTGTGAAAACAATGTGCATGTTTGTTTTTGTGGTTGGGCTTGAAGCATCTTGGATTGAATCTCGTTCCAAGTCTCGGGGGTCCAAATCCCAGAACGCTGCGAACAAATCACCATCAATGGCTGGCATCAACCATCAAAATATGGATGGTGTATTATTGCTTTACTAACATTAAACCCCATAAGTGGGGAGATAATCCCTACAACTCTTTATTGTCTTATATCCGTTAATAACTCTATCCACTATGGGTGGTTTATGATTGCTTATTTTGAGAGTTATATCACGGTTTATCTTTGATTCATGGTCCAGTGACCCGCAGTGCCTTCAGGAGGAACTGAAGAATGAGAAACCAGATGGAGACCAGGTGGGAAGCCTTTCTTGAAGAGGGGGTAGCATGTGGGGTTATTTTTATCGCTGTATATTGTTTTTATCTGGGTTGATTATAAACTATGCCAATGCAAGCATATTTGGATACTGTAAATCTTTGGACGGATGAACATCCATTTACCAGCTATTTTAAGATGTTTTTTCCAGGGTCTTGGCCCATAGCCATACGGGTGCAGATGGGTTTGACTGAAACCTGGGGGATTTTTTGCTTCAGCATTTTTGGGATAGATTTGTTCAGTTAGCAGTCGCCCCAAAGTTAAATATGTAATAGGGATCAATCAACCAGTAGCAGTGGATCTGCGGCGCCATCGCCCAAGGCTTTGAATAAGCTCTTTCAGCAGATCTATGAAAGAGCTGCTTGGCAAACATATTGTGTTGATGTGCATGACAACATGACAGTTGTTAACTGGACAATCACATCCCCAGATTACTGCAGTACTTTACTCACCCTCAGCTCTGCTAAACTCCTTGAGAAGGTGGTGTAGAGAGAGAGAGAGAACATGTGAGATCAGAGTAAATACTCCCCTCCCAAAAGGAATAGATCCAATACATTTCACGGGTTTTGATTGGGTATATAATATATATCTGACATAGGGACAAGGGAGCAATAACATCTAGAGCCGAACAAATCCCATCTTTACAACTCACCATTCATCCACTTAATGAAACTTCCATGCTGAATGGGATTTACATCCAAGAAGATGAGACAAGTGGTTCGCAAGTGAGCTAAATCGCGAAGTTGGTGAGCATATAACTGCAGTTTCACTGGAGTTTCTGATACATCTATGGAAGTAGACCATGGGAACTCCTAGCTGCTAAACCATCCCATGAAAAATCGGCCATTTGAAGTTTTTTTTTTTGCATCCCAGTGCCAGGGGCCCAATCATCAGCCCCTTTGGGGAATGGTGACCATTCTTAGGTTGATCACATTATAACATATTATAACCAACATGGGGGTCTTAAAACCAACATTCACATCAAGTTTTTGCGGGCACCATCCTGCACAGTTCCGAATTGCACATCGCGTTGTTGGGGGTGACTTGATGACTTGGATGTTTTCGGATTTCCCCAAGAAACCCTCCAGTAAACTAACATAGATATGGAACAGTGCCTGTTTAGTTCGGTGATTCTTGGTCAACATGGTGATGTTCCATAGTCATGTTAGTTTACCAGG